GTTCTTTAAAAGCTCTTTCCATCCTTCCGGAATGCTGCTGGTGATGGCCTGTAGATTCCTCTCCCGTTGGTGACAGCCCTTGAGGATGGCTGCAAGGTCAAGGTCTKTTACCCAGTCCCTTTTCTCTTYATTCCATAAGTGTTCRATTTTCSAGACTCCGTTCTTTATCCAGGATAGCCAGCGTGTGCCCCTGACCTTGAGAGAGAAGGGGTGGTCGCTTTCATCTCTCAACCATGGGTTGCCAAAAAGGGGYTGCCTCRGTACCTCTTCTCTCGTCTTGGGCCTGCCGACTTTTTTTGGCATGATTTCCCTYCAAATTCTTAGMAGGGAYGTCCAGTAGGGTGTGGGGGGTCTGTTYTCCGGRCGGTTGTTTCCTTGTCGGCGGTTTCTGCGTCCTGTGTTGGGTGTCCATTCCTTGTTCATCACCCAGAAAAGACCTGACATGTTTGTTGGTGTAGGTATCGGAGTTAGTCCTCAAATGCTATCCAAGGCTAGTTTGTTCCAAGCTGTGCCTGGCTTCGTGAGCATTTTGATGATCCATTTGACCTGTAGAGCTTTGGTTTCTTGTTTGGGGTCGATGATCCCCAATCCTCCTTTACTTGGTTTCCTCGTGATGTAATGCCATGCTATCTTAGGGATGAAGTTGACTCTGTTAGGGTCACCAGACCATAGGTAGGCCCTTGCTACCCAATTGAGTTCCTTGATTGACTCGTCTGGTACAGTCCAGATTGAGGCTATATACCACATCATCGAAAAGATGGAGGTGTTGAGGGTTAGGGCGCGTCCCAACAGAGATGTGAAAGTGTTGCCCCACCTGCCCATTTTATTGATTTGTTTGGTCAGCACATTCTGGGCCATTTGGGGGGCAAAACCTTCTTTTGTCATCAGCATTCCTAGGTATCGTGTAGGTGTCTCCGGTGTCTCCCAGGTCAACGTTGCCTCTGGGCCTTGGAGCTGCGGGGGTTCTTCCTCTGACAACCACCACCCAACCGTTTTTGTCCAATTAATCTTCATTTCCGAGGCCAGTCTGAAGGCTTCCATAGCTCTTACTAAAGCACTGAAGGACGAGTTTGAGGCTCGTATGAGAACCGTGAGGTCGTCTGCGAACATTATAACTGTAGGGAACTTTAGATGGTGGGCCGATCCTGCGTTGATTTCTGGCAGTCTGTGAATGGAGGGGTCTTTCCGTAGAAAGGAGGCTATTGCTTCCATAACAAAAAGGAAGATAGGAGGGGCTAAAGGATCGCCCTGACGGACTGATCGTGATATTCGGTAGCATTCTGATAGTAGACCATTGACTTGTACACAGCCAATGGCATCATTGTACAGGATACGTATCCATTTTCTAAAGATCGGACCTACCCCCATCTTTTCCATACTCGAATTTAGGAAGGACCAGTTGACCTGGTCATAAGCCTTTTCAAAGTCAAAGAACATTATTGCTGTACTAATTCTCTTTTCTCTTACTTTGTTGGCCGCTTCATTTAGAGTGAGTACATTGTCCAGAATGTATCTTCCCGGTATGAACCCTGTCTGGTCTATATGAAAGCACTTGTCCGTCAGATCCAATATCCTAAGGGCAAGGGTTTTCGCCAAGATTTTGTGCGGCAACGTGAGTAGAGAAATGGGCCTGTAGTTTCGTATGTCTTCTTTGTCCCCTTTTTTGTATAGAAGTGTGACAACACTGCTGCTCAACATGTCACCAAGGTCCCCCTTCAGCCAGCTGTCCTTGTAGAAATTTAGTAGATCACCCCCAAGAAGTGGCCAAAGTTTCTCCCAGAATTCTTTAGTTAGTCCATCAATGCCTGGAGTTTTGTTGTTATTAATGCTGTGGATTGCCGCTTGTAGTTCTTCCAACGTGATGGGCTTGTCTAGAGCGTCTGCTTATTCTTGTGAGATGGTTTTATCTAGATACTGGAGCATTCTAGTCCTTGCTTCTGTAGTGCTGGGGGGAGTGGGGGTAGGTGTCTTTGTTTGATAGAGATCTTCATAAAATTCCTTGGCTATGTTTAGCATTCCTTTGCTGTCTGTTAGTGTCTCCGCTGTTTCAGAGAGGGTCTTAAGGCCCTCTATTGAGCTAGATCTTGTGTTTGCGTTAATCCTCGCAAAGAAGTGCTTTGACATTGACTCGCTGAGTTCATACTCATTCACTCTCGATCTTATTTGTAATCCCTTTAACTCCCACCATCTCCATACAGCCAGCTCCTCCCTTGCTTTGTGGAAAATGTTTGTATAGAAAGGCGAAGATGGATTATCGACTAAGTTGGACTCTGCGACCCTTAGAGCGGCTTCTAGGGCGATTTTTCGTTGTTTCCTGTCGTTTGACATTTTCCTTGACATGTTGGCCGCTGTCTGGGCCAGTGAGGAGTAGTTGTCTTGGAACCAGTCCCATCTGTCCTGGGTGGGGAGGTAGCTGCCTCTCCTATTCTGCCAGCAGTCCAGGATGCCTTTTTCGAAACATTGGCTTAATAAAAGCGAGTTGTTAAGTTTGTGAAAGCTGGAACCTTTCTTCACAAATTGTTTGAAACTGATGATAAGTTCAATTGATTTGTGGTCCAGCCCTGTGTAAGGCTGTAGGGGGAGGATGTCTGCCAGCTTGGTTGTTCCCATTAGTGTTTCTGAAATCAGAAAATAGTCTATAAAGGAGAAGGCAGTGTGTTGGGCGTGGTTCTTCTTTACTAGGGTGAAGGCTCTTACTCCCGGGTGCAACGTGCGGTATGGTTCAACCAGGTTGCAGTCTAGCATCAAGCGTTGGATGGGGACTGCCTCTTGTGTGGATTGGCTCGCCGTCGACCTAGAAATACGATCTACTGTCGGGTCTAGGGTGGCGTTCCAATCGCCTGCGAAGATGCAGGGCGCTAGAGGAGGAGCGAGATTCCCTATAGTTGCTACGAAAGCTGCTCTTTCCGATGAGTTATTCGGTGCATAAATGTTTATTATCCTCACTTCTTCTTCTTTCCACCGTAAGTCCATCAGACACCATCTGCCTTCTGTTGTGTCGGCTTCTGAATTCACTATGGTGCCTCCCGAGTAAAGGCGGGAAGATTTGGGAATAAGGCCGTACCCTTTGTGCAGGAGTTGTCTGAGGACCATATTTCATCCTTAACCCCTCCTAGTTTCCTTGTTAGCGCTGTCTGGATTTTTTTGTGATCAGCTGATAGTGTGAGGTGAGTTTCTTGCAGCAGAATTATGTATCCGGGTCGTTTTTGTAATTTCCTCAGTTTTGGGTCCTACCCAGAACCCCATTCTGGGTCAGGTTGCATTGGGGACAATTTTCTGTAAATTTTAATATCAGCCTTTATCAGGCTCTTTTCCTTTTCTGCACTGCCCAGACTGGTATCGGTCCGGTAGGCCCGTGTGCCCCTCAGTGTCTGTTCGTGGCTGTAGACTCTGTGCAGAGTCTTAGGGTTCGTAGGTCTGGAGGTAGAAAAAGAGTGCACGGCACTGCACGCGAGTTGTTTAGTTTTTTTTTCTGTTTTCGTTTCATTTGTTTTGGTTGAGAGTCATGTTTGGAGGAACGGCGTTATTTTGTGCGGGCAGCTGCTCTTCAGCTTCATTGAGAAGGCGGCCATAGCTGGGGCCGTTCCTGCTTACATGAGAGCTGTGCTGATGCGGGGCATCAACCGCTGGTGTTGACCTCCATATCTGACGTGTTGGGGGTACGGCGCGGCCATCGACTCAGCACTTGGTTACATCTTCTTCGAAGAGTGGTCTTCTTCTTTTTCATCCTTGGAGCTGGTGCCCCCCTGTCGATTGGACACTCCATCAGTTATGGGGAATTTCCGAATTTGAGTTGACACTGGTTGGCCGGCTGAGTCAGGAGGGTGTGTTGGTGAGCAGCAGGTTGTTTGGGTTGGGTGCTGGAAGTAGGAAGGCGCCATAGCCAAGGATTGCGAGGTGGAGTAAGGGGGAAGAAGAAGTCGCCATATTATTCGATAAGGTAATTAAAATTCCGTTTTTACTAACTTTTAGTTTGCTTGGGGGTGCTTAAACGTGGTTGTGATTCTCGTTTGGAGGTGCTATTGATTGAGTTGAGGAGGGATGGTTTGAATTAGAACTGAATTCATTTCCATTCTATTCATGGATTACGCTTCCACGGTGCATATTTGCACTGGTTTGGTGTGGATTTGCTCTGTTCAAGTGTCCTGCATATGTGTAGGGGAACATGTGGATGCAGCGTTGGATGGAATCTCGATCAATCACAAAACACATTCGCTTTTTTCAAATTGCCTATTGCAGTTGCCAGGAATCAGGCCCTCGGTAATGTTGGAAAAGGACCCATGCCCGCCCTGAGGGACGATGGGCCTGCTATTCTTGTTTCGGCCTGCAGACAGGCCATCGTGAGCGCAGAGGGGACTGTGGGTTGGTCGCATTAAGCAGCATCTTCAACCAACCGGTAGGCCCAGCAGTTGAAGATGCTGGAGGCCAGCAGAGATGCTGAGGCCCAAGACCCTTACAGTTGAGTCCCAGGCACATTGTGGAAGTGCCCTGGGCGAAGCCAGACCGGGCAGACCGTAGGCCAGACAGCCTGCATGAAGGAAAGTGACGCTCGCTTTCATTCATGCTGGCTGGCTGGTGTGTGGCAGCGCCGCTGGGGCGCTCATGCACGAGGGAGCTGGCTAGTATGAGGGCTCTGGCAAGGCACATTGGGAAGCTGCAAGAGCGCAGCCAAGTACAGGCGGCGGCCATAGCCAAACCGCTTGCCTGAACCCTGTGGAGGATAAGGTGGAGGTCCTTGGGAGAGGAGGAGAGCCGGAGTGGGAATTGACGAGGGATGAGCGGCGATGGAAGTGCTTACCTGGTGATAATGAGCATTCGTCAATGAGCTACTGTACTACAATGAAGACCTGTTGCTGTCATTAGATAGGCACTGTCTGATTGTAGTCTGGGCGTTGAGCGCCATGTAGGATGAGCAACATTGTTGACATTGGTATTGGAGGCAGGAAGAGGGCTTTCATTATCGATTGACTTCGGTGTTCTGTTCTCACTCATTTGGTGTGATCTCGTGTTGCCTCTGCTCCGAACAGTATGAAGGGATGGTTGCTACCAGCCTCTCCCACGAAAACTGTGATCCCTTGTCTTGTGCTCATTCCCCCCACCCCCTCATTACTTGCCCAGCATGCCGTTGTGGCCTCGATCTGCAATGCCTAAATAAATGTGCATGTCAGCATTCCATACTAATGACATGTCAGCAACATGCCATGTGTCGTCAATGTTTCCAGGAAGCCGTCATAGGAAGTATGTGTCTTTACTGCGTGGACTATCCTCAGTACCATCAGCCTCCACATCCTTTCCTAGCTTGTCCCATATGCGGTGTTGGTCATACACCTACGATAACGGCAGATGGATCTCCCTCTTCCTTGCCAGATGAACGACAGACACAGCAGCCCGAAGAGGAAATAGACTTCTAGCGCCTGCGGAGCAGTGTGCTGATAGTTTATCACCACCAGGGCGAGCTGTTGCGGACCAAATCCTGCAGCAGCTGAATGCCCTTGCTTTGGACCGATCCTCCCTGTCGTCACCTGCCCATAGGGAAGGAATGAATACTGAGGAAACCCAAGAAAGATGCTCCATGCTGCTTTGTGATGACCTGCCGGAGATTCAACTAGCATGTGGTTCGCATGCCTTGTGCCGTGAGGATTATGAAGGGATAGTCCATGCGAGTTTTTGCTTCCATATGTATGACGACAGTCAGTACTGTACTCATGTACGGCACCCTGACATGCCGTGTCCAATTTGTAGACGGGATGGAATGGCAAGGCCTCTATAGTTGTGGTTGACATGCCTCAGCGTTCCTAGCATGTAGTAGCCACGTAGCCTGTGACATCTGTCTGCGCCGCGCCATTCGATGCAGCAATTGTGACTGCGAAAATTGGATGTGGTGCTTCCATAGTCCACACCCGAACTGGTCCTCTCCTGTCTGTAGGGGTGGCCACTTACCATAGGCAACAACTGCTCCTCTACCAAAAAAATTGTTTTTGCAACCCTGTGCCATTCTAGGGTAGTCTGTTCCAGTGGTGAGTGTTTAGAATTTGCAAAGTTCGTCATACACCTCTCCCCTGCCCTTTGCATGTCATACTCTATCCTGACCTTCACATCTTTCTTTCCTGCCCCTTACCCTCCACCTCCCCCTACCTCACACTCCTATAGAACTCCGCCTTCTATCCCTTTCCCTCCACCTCCCCTCCACCCTCCCCTTTTGTGCTACTAGCAAATACACACAAATGAGCATCGTTGAGAGAACAGACGATATGAAGATCGGAAGTGAAATGAATGGGAGTATGAAGATGAAGGACAGACACAAAGACTAAGTATAAGCTGAAGATCTGAAGTGAAATGAACATTAGTATGAAGATCTGAAGAGAAATGCACAGGCGCGTACCTTCCCTTTTACTCTGTCTCCTGTTATAACGTGCAAGTGGGCCGTTAAGGCACACGGGGATGTGGGCAGCTGCCGCTCAACCACCATCAACGTGGCCAGCCTTGTACGTGCGAGGCTTAGTAAAAGAGGAGCTGTTGCCCCGAAGAAACCCCAGCTAAACACAGTTCTAAACACTTCTATTATGATTCTATTATGATTCACGTTGCTTGCTAAAGAGGTGAAATTCTTTAATTGTTGAGCTGGGTCAACTTGTATCTGCTCGTCTGGATGGAATAGACGCTGTTGTGGTGCAATTTTTTAAACACACACACACACACACACACACACACACACACACACACACACACACACACACACACACACACACACACACACACACAGGCTGAAGAGGAGAGAGGACAACTTTGAGCTCCTGTATTTATGGTAATATGTGAATGTCGGGATTCACTTTTTACGATCTGCTTCATCTGGAGCTTCGTTTTGATTTCGCTTTGTCATCAGGTACTTTGGATCCTGAATGCTTGTCCTTTTTCAGTGTTGAGTAATTGTGATGTTTGGTTGTAAGCTTCTGAAGGATTGCTGCATTCATTGGCTTTTTTTTAACTTCTAGGCTACCAGGAGACCTGGCTGTGCGTGCCCGGGCAGGCACCTGTGCAGGTCGCCTGGCCGTCAGTTGTAGAAACTCAGGGATTTTTTTTTTTCTTCTTTTTCTCTTTTTTTTTTATAAATAAAAGTCAGAATAACAGGATACATCATAAGTACTCACCCACTCTTCCTTCCGTCCGGCCGAAGAACCCCTGACCAGCATTGATTGCTCCAACAGCGTGGAGGATTGACTGTCAGCTTGCCCTGCTTCATCCTTTCCTCTCAGGTCTACTGCGAAAACTTGTCGTATAAAGCATGACTAGCGAGAAAGGTCCTAGAAGCTGCCAAAGCTGCCAATTTTGTCTAAACTGTAAATCCCCCATGTGAGCCACATGAAAACTCTGCTATTCTGAACCCTGTTTGCCCTAATTCTGTCCAAACCCTAAGCCCTAAACCCTAAACCCTCAACTATAGTTTTTATTTTTCCAGAAACATAAACTCCAATCTTTTCCGAGCATTTCTTGAAGTCCCCTGAAGCAACTTAGCCTGTCAGCTCACGGTGCCTGTGTTGGGCCTTGGTCGCTTGGTATCTGGAACCCCTGTCTTCTCCCCTCTGTTTCCGAATTGTTTTCTTTCTTTTTTCCTTTTTTCTGGGGATTTTGTCAGTCCAGTTCATATTCCGTCGGCAGGTCAACAATTGCCATATGAACACCCTGATGCTTCCTTCCGTCTAGAAAATTTCAGGGAGGTTCTTTTTTCCTTCATATGGGGGGATTTCCTGCACCTGCTGAAGGCAGCCCGAATCCGGGCTCTTTTTTTTTCTTCGGTGTTATCCATTGAGGCGGGGAGAAGGGGTACAAATGGAGCTTTAAGGGGTTCAAAGGGGGAGCCTTAGTTTGGTTGTCTTAGTTTCTTTTGTTTTCCGGTGTAATCCATTGAGGGGGGGGAAGTGGGGCTTAAAGGAGTTTAAAGGGGGTGCCTTAGTTTGATTTTCTTAGTTTTTTTTAATCTTCTATAATTCTATTCGATAAGGAACTCGGAGGTGCCCCTCAACCACAAGTTGTTTGCAGTGCAATTCAAGACAACTGTCAACATAGTTT